GTGCCCCCTACTGTGCCCCCTACTGTGCTTTAGCCACCCGGCGCTCCGCTCGTTGTTGTGAGCGTCGCTCCTCCGCCCTCCGTTGTTGTTGGAGGGCGACTACCTCCAACTTCCTAGTAGCGTCCTTCACGAGCCTCCTCCACAGAGGCCGATCTTGACACCGCTGGTACCAGTCATCGGCAAGTCCACTCAGCTCCACGTCCTCCTATACCACATCACTCCATCTCTTCTCTAGCCCGTGCCGCGCCCGTTTAGCCCCCTCGATCCGGCCGAACAAAAGCTGTTTCGGCATGCGGTGGCTGGGCATGCGGGCTACATGACCCAGCCAACGCAGCCTTGCCTGCCGGAGGAGCTCACCGATGGGACCGTGCCCAGATCTTTCAAGGATTTGTGAGCTCCAGCCTGGTTAAACCCAGGATGGATTGTAGGCAGGCCAGCCTAAATGTTTCTAACACATACACACACATACACACACATACACACACATACACACATACACAAAGATCCCCCATATAGCCTTAACAGACTGTAGGGGCAAGTGCTGTTAGCGAGCACCTTACACACACACATACACACACACATACGCACACACATACACACACATACACACACATACACACACACATACACACACACACATACACACACACATACACACACACATACGCACACACACACATACACACATACATACACACACATACACACACATACACACACACATACATACACACAAGCCGTGTGGTGTAGACGTGGGACCTTTACCTTCACTGGGGGAGCCGAACCCGACTGTCGGGCAGCGACGCATTGAACAGCGCTCGGCGTTATTCGAATCTCAGTGACAAAAGTCGGCCGTGGCAAAACGCGGCGCCTCTGATTCCTAGCCCAATGAAGGACACGTGGCGACCTCGGGCGATACGGCGACAGCTCAACAACGATGTGCGATGTTGCTCTGAGCGGTGGTTGTCCGGTGGTCGATGGTTAAGGCCCGGTCCTTGCCATAGGAACGTGGAGTTTCCACCTGTAAGGTGAGGCTCATCCGACTCTCAGCAGTCGTTGGCCGGTGGTCAATGGACAGACTCGGTCCTTGCCATAGGAACGTGAAGTTTCCACCTGTAAGGTGAGGCTCATCTAACTCTCAGCAGTCATTGGCCGGTGGTCAATGGACAGACCCGGCCCTTGCCATAGGAACGTGGAGTTTCCACCTGTAAGGTGGGGCCGATCTGACTCTCAGCAGTCGTTGTCCGGTGGTCGATGGACAGACCCGGTCCTTGCCATAGGAACGTGGAGTCTCCACCAGTAAGGTGGGGCCGATCTGACTCTCAGCAGTCGTTGGCCGGTGGTCAATGGACAGACCCGGCCCTTGCCATAGGAACGTGGAGTTTCCACGTGTAAGGTGGGACCGATCTGACTCTGAGCAGTGGTTGTCCGGTGGTCGATGGACAGACCCGGTCCTTGCCATAGGAACGTGGAGTTTCCACCTGTAAGGTGGGGCCGATCTGACTCTCAGCAGTCGTTGGCCGGTGGTCGATGGATAGACCCGGTCCTTGCCATAGGAACGTGGAGTTTCCATCACACATGCACCAGCCCTTCCTTCCCGACCTGGCGAGTTGATGATGGATTCTGGTTATTATTAATTATTACGTATTATTATTAATAATTATTATTAATTATTATTATTTAACTCTTACAATCAGTGCACTTTGCCGGCAGTGACACACGGATTGGGGAGACGCAGGCACGGCGTAGGGAACACGGAAAAATCGTGGAGAACGCGAGAGAGAGAGAGAGAAGAGAGAGAGGAAGGGAGGAGAGAGATTCATAATCACAATCACGCTGCCAGACAGAGGCACGCACAGACCAGTGAGTCAACACAAAGGAGAGACATCGCGTTCACCGTAGATGGATGTGTGCGCGTGTGTGTGTTGAACTTTGTGGGGAGCGGTAGTGTAGCGGTTTACGCGCTGCGCTATGAACCTGGCAACCCGGGTTCGATTCCCGCTTCATGGCCAACACCACGGTGACGATTATCTGAAACCGGTCCTGGGCCTCCCCTAGGACGACTCAGCCTGAAATGGGTACCTGGTGCGGTGTGCAGTAAAGATCGCCGCTGGGGAGACAAAGGCGGTCGGGCGTGGTGCTGGCCACCCACCCCCTCGTGTACCGTTCCTGCCTTCATAGGTGCTCGCTAACAGCACTTGCCCCTACAGTCTGTTAAGGCTATACGGGGGATCTTTGTCTTTGTGTTGAACTTCTTTCACCGCGCCCTTTCAGACGCACTTCTTTGGCCGCCTGGAACGCTGCTTCCTGCCATTACTCGGAAGCCACAGAGAGCTACACACTGTTAAATCAACGTCTAGATTGACAAACTCATTTCTAGAGAACGGCTTTTTTGTGTTTGGTTTGTTCTCATTACGCTCCGCACCTCCGATTAGCACGGTCGGCTAAGTACGGGGCGAAAGAAGTTCAACACACATACAGAGAGCCATATACTCGCACAGAGACCTATAGACTCACACAGAGACCCATATACTCACACAGAGACCCATAGACTCACACAGAGACACATAGACTCACACAGAGACCCACAGACTCACACAGAGACCCATAGACTTGCACAGAGACCCAAAGACTCACACAGAGACCCATAGACTCACGCAGAGACCCATAGACTCACACAGAGACCCATATACTCACATAGAGACCCATAGACACACACAGAGACCCATAGACACATACAGAGACCCATAGACACATACAGAGACCCATAGACACATACAGAGACCCATAGACTCACACAGAGACCCATAGACTCACACAGAGACCCATATACTCACACAGAAACCCATAGAGACACAGAGACCCATAGACTCACACAGAGACCCACAGACTCACACAGAGACCCATAGACTCGCACAGAGACCCATAGACTCACACAGAGACCCATAGACTCACTCAGAGACCTAAAGACTCACACAGAGATCCATAAACTCACACAGAGACCTAAAGACTCACACAGAGACCCATAAACTCACACAGAGACCCACAGACTCACTCAGAGACCCATAGACTCACACAGAGACCCACAGACTCACTCAGAGACCTAAAGACACACACAGAGACCCATAAACTCACTCAGAGACCCAAAGACTCACACAGAGACCCACAGACTTGCACAGAGACCCAAAGACTCACACAGAGACCCATAGACTCACACAGAGACCCATAGACTCACACAGAGACCCATATACTCACATAGAGACCCATAGACACACACAGAGACCCATAGCCACATACAGAGACCCATAGACACATGCAGAGACCCATAGACACATACAGAGACCCATAGACTCACTCAGAGACCCATATCCTCACACAGAGACCCATAGACTCACACAGAGACCCATAGACTCACACAGAGACCCATATACTCACACAGAAACCCATAGACACACAGAGACCCATAGACTCACACAGAGACCCACAGACTCACACAGAGACCCATAGACTCGCACAGAGACCCATAGACTCACACAGAGACCCATAGACTCACTCAGAGACCTAAAGACTCACACAGAGATCCATAAACTCACACAGAGACCTAAAGACTCACACAGAGACCCATAAACTCACACAGAGACCCACAGACTCACTCAGAGACCCATAGACTCACACAGAGACCCACAGACTCACTCAGAGACCTAAAGACACACACAGAGACCCATAAACTCACTCAGAGACCCAAAGACTCACACAGAGACCCACAGACTCACACAGAGACCCACAGACTCACACAGAGACCCATAGACTCACACAGAGACCCATAGACTCACTCAGAGACCTAAAGACTCACACAGAGATCCATAAACTCACACAGAGACCTAAAGACTCACACAGAGACCCATAAACTCACACAGAGACCCACAGACTCACTCAGAGACCCATAGACTCACACAGAGACCCACAGACTCACTCAGAGACCTAAAGACACACACAGAGACCCATAAACTCACTCAGAGACCCAAAGACTCACACAGAGACCCACAGACTCACACAGAGACCCACAGACTCACACAGAGACCCATAGTTTTTTTGTCCCCCCCCCCCCGCGCACCTCCGATGAGCACGGTCGGCTACGTACGGCGCGAGAGAAGTTCGACGTACATACCCGAGAGAACTGCGTTGACACCCGGGGTTAGTGGTGGTGGGTGGGCTGGGGGGGTTCGGCTGAGGCCCTCACTCATTATTCTCAACGCTGCCAAGTGCCCGGGTCACCGGGACACGCGGCGCGGGGTCAATCTGCGAGATTTCGCTGCGCTTTCAAATCTCACGAAAAGGTGCAGCGGAGGGTTTGAATTATAATTAAGGGTCGCCCTTACCTCCCCCCCCCCACTCCCCCCCCCCAAACCCACCCACCAACCCCTCTCTACTCCTCCAGCGATTGCAATGAATTTAGAAAGAATCAATCCCAGGCCAGCCCACTCTCAGTCCACCCATGGACGCAAGGCCCTCACCATGGCGGGAGATGGGGTGGCGGTGGCGGTGTTGCCCCCATGCTCCACCACGCTGGTCGGTGCAGGCTTGGTGGACGGGGCCGGAGGAGTGGGGCCGGTTGTTGGTCCCCGCCGCTGACGTTGGCCGTGGGTTGCGATCTGACCTCGGGGTTTCCCCGCGCCGCGTTTCTGACCGCTGCGCCGCCGCTCGAATTGACGCGACTCCGGGGGCGTTGCGATCGGAGTCAAGAATATTTTTTGTTTTGTTTATGACAGCGCTACCCGCGAGCGCCTGCCAGGGTGGCGGATGCGAACCGGTTACACGGAGCCACTGCGAAGCCGGCAACAACAACAAACAAAAAACATCTGAGTTTGACTCCAGGCCACGGACGACATCGGTGGCGAGTGATGATCTGGACCGGTCCTAAAGGGGGGGGGGGGGCTTCCCCAGCTATCTCCACCCCCCACCGACGAGAGCGGTGAAGTAAGGTCAAACAACCTCGGCGATCGACGCGGTGCCCAGATGGCTTTAATGGAGCAGTGGATTGACAAATAAAGCATCGCATGATATCATTGTTCTATTTAAATGCAAGCATTCGCGTCTACACTTAAAATTTGTCTCAATGTACAACAGATAAAACCCGCGCATCGCTGCACACAGAGGTCGGCATCGTAAATATAAATAAAACATTCATTCGTAAACCACGTATTTGTTTACATGGGAAGGCTTAGGTGAAAATCAAGATTAATTTTGCACGAGGGTGCTGCTACTTTGTGACGTGTGGCCAATAATATTTGTATGAATATATTTACATATATATTTTTATATATAGCGAGTGGCGGCTTTTGTTGTTGATGTGACGTGAAAGAGATCTGTGGATCCCGGGGAAAAATATCAACGCGCACATGAGCAGTAAGTTCGTCTTGGGCCCAGGACACTTCGTTAAGAAGGGCCGAAGATGGCTGATCGTCCTGACCATCAACCATATGATGGGCAGGACGAAGCGACCCTGGACATCACAAATGATGTGCTCAACGAAGTGGGCTTCGCGTCAAGTGGACATTTATAAGCGGCCAAATAATCGAAACTCACTTTGGTTCGAAATGTGAAGGGGGAAAAAAAGCAGAGGACCCGGAGAAAAATCCACGCGACCACGGGGAGAGAGACACACACGCACACACACAAACTCCAAATATACAGCAGCAGACGTCAGGGTCGGGATCGAACCCACGACCTCCTGTGTACCAGGCGAGGTAGTTAACATCTCTCGCTAACGTGACGCAGTGGTCCTGCGTCGCTGAGATGGAGCGGATTTTTTTTTTTTTACATCGCAGGATCGTGAGAGGTGGCAGCAGCTTGCGGGAGGGAGGCCTTCATCCGCCGGTGGATTGATCAAGGCCGACGATGTTAATGACACTGGTAGACGACACTCGAAGGTCACCTGGGCCCTCTTCCCACGAGGGCACAGGTGAGCTCCCATGCGAGAGAAGAGAGCCGCCGATCGCAGGGAGGGGAGTACGCAAACCACGCTTCAGTTCCTGGGCTTTTTTCAGTTTAAATAGCCCCTGGGTTGACTCTTGATTTAACTGAAATCATCCTCATCATCATCATCATCGATGTCATCTTTGCCATTGTCATCGTGAGCATTATCTTCGTCATTGCGGATGGACCACATCATCGCCGATATCTTCACGGTTCTCACCCCGCCCCCCCCACCTCGATGAAGATTCCTCTGTAATGAGAAGCACACACACGTCACACACGTGTCATATACGTCACACACACGTCACACACGTGTCATATCCGTCACACACACGTCACACACGTGACATATACGTCAAGTACACGTCACACACGTGTTAACCACGTCACACCCACGTCACACACACGTCACAAATGTCACACACGTGACCGCGTAGCGAATGCCAAGCACGAGCATGCAAGCAGGTTCGGCGCTCTCCGCGAAAACGACGCTCATTTCCAGACAAAAATATAAAAAAAGACTAATTTAAAAAAACGGATGCTATCAACGTATTTCTTTAAACGATCTTCGTCTTGAACTCCGTGCGGTGTGCGACTCTGCTGCTGCTGCTGCTGCCACGCTTGTTCAAGTGGAGACTTGAGACCCCACTGCACAGAGCTACTTTATTAGTTTCAGACACTCGATCGCTGTGTTCCGATCGAGCATCTGAAACTAAACTTTTCAACCAGGTAAGGCCCACCGGGCTATATAAGCAGCTCTTCTTGCACAATGCGACCTGGCAGTCACAAATGACAGCCCAACGAAGCGCCCTTATCATCACGTGGTGGTTTAGAGCAGCCAACCACTCTGAACGCGCGATGTTCATTCTAGATCTTGGAGGGAGAAAACCAAAACGCCGGGAGGACCCGGAGAAAAATCCACGCGGCCACCACGGGGAGAGAAAGAGAGACGTAAGCTGCAAATATACCACGCGCATCAGGGTCAGGATCAAACCCACGACCTCCTGGATACGAGGGCGAGGTAGGTAACATCTCCTGGTCACCGAGGAGGAGGAGTGAACTCACCGGATTGTTTCCCCCATCCCTACTCCCCACGGGGCATTTATCTATTCACGAGAAGATGACGCCATGAGGGTCGTCTTTGTAAGGACGCCGCGTGGCTCGATTGGGGCGTTGATTTGCGGCGTTGATTTGCGGCGAGCCCGAAAACTAAAACAGGACGCGTGGTGTTGGCAGGACGACGTCGCTCGGCTGGCCTGGGAATACCGCCAGGGAGAGCTAGAGTTTGTGTATAGTGTAGTGTATAGTGTAGTGTGTAGTAGTGTGTAGTGTAGTGTAGTGTGTAGTGTAGTGTATAGTGTAGTGTATAGTGTAGTGTATAGTGTAGTGTATAGTGTAGTGTATAGTGTAGTGTATAGTGTAGTGTATAGTGTAGTGTATAGTGTAGTGTTTAGTGTAGTGTATAGTAGTGTATAGTGTAGTGCATAGTGTAGTGTATAGTAGTGTAGTCGTGTATAGTCGTGTATAGTGTAGTATATAGTGTAGTGTATAGTAGTGTGTAGTGTAGTGTATAGTGTAGTGTATAGTGTAGTGTATAGTGTAGTGTATAGTGTAGTGTGTAGTATAGTGTAGTGTATAGTGTAGTGTATAGTATAGTGTATAGTGTAGTGCAGAGTAGTGTAGTAGTGTAGAGTAGTGTATAGTGTAGTAGTGTAGAGTAGTGTATAGTGCAGTAGTGTATAGTGTATAGTAATGTATAGTGTAGTATATAGTAGTCTAGTAATGTATAGTAGTGTAAAGTATGGTAGTGTATAGTGTAGGAGCGTATAGTGTCATAGTGTATAGTAGTGTAGAGTGTATAGTAGTGTACACTGTATAGTAGTGTATAGTGTATAGTAGTGTATAGTGTAGTATGTAGTAGCGTATAGTAGTGAATAGAATAGTAGTGAACAGTGTATCGTAGTGTATAGTGTAGTGCATAGTGTAGTAGTGGGTAGTCGTGTATAGTGTAGTAGTGCTGGAGTCTGTCGCCAGAGAAAGGGAGGTGTGGACCACCACTACTCAACACGCTGCTGTAGTGTAAAGTGTAGTGTATAGTGTAGTGTATAGTGTAGTGTGTAGTGTATAGTAGTGTATAGTGTATGGTAATGTAGTGCTGGAGTCTGCCGCCAGGGAGATGGAGGTGTGGACCGCCACCACTCAACACGCTGCTGTAGTGTATAGTGTAGTGTATAGTGTAGTGCATAGTGTAGTGTGTAGTGTAGTGTATAGTGTGTAGTAGTGTATAGTGTAGTGTATAGTGTAGTGTATAGTGTAGTGTATAGTGTAGTGTATAGTGTAGTGTGTACCGCCACCACTCAACACGCTGCCGCCGCGACCCTCACCAGGACAAGCGGATTGAGACACGAACGAATGGATATATGATGAAATGCGTTTTTTTTACCACCTCATTAATCTCAAGGGGAACATTCATGGGGGAATGAGAGAGATCGTGCGGGCACTCTCGCAATTGAAACCTTGACGGCTCCCACGTGATTTGGGGATGCATCGCTTGAATGTTGTCCATACTCATATATATGTTGAACTTCTTTCACACCGTTCGTAGCCAACCGCGCTAATCGGAAGTGTGGGGGAAGGACGGGAAACGATGGGTTTTTGTGTGAGTCTATGGGTCTCTGTGTGAGTCTGTGGGTCTCTGTGTGAGTCTAGGGTCTCTGTGTGAGTCTATGGGTCTCTGTGTGAGTGTATGAGTCACTGTTTGAGTATATGGGTCTCTGTGTGAGTCTATGGGTCTCTGTGTGAGTCTATGGGTCTCTGTGTGAGTCTATTGGTCTCTGTGTGAGTCTATGGGTCTCTGTGTGAGTCTATGGGTCTCTGTGTGAGTCTATGGGTCTCTGTGTGAGTCTATGGGTCTCTGTGTGAGTCTATGGGTCTCTGTGTGAGTCTATGGGTCTCTGCATGAGTCTATGGGTCTCTGTGTGAGTCTATGGGTCTCTGTGTGAGTCTATGGGTCTCTGTGTGAGTCTATTGGTCTCTGCATGAGTCTATGGGTCTCTGCGTGAGTCTATGGGTTTCTGTGTGAGTCTATGGGTCTTTGTGTGAGTCTATGGGTCTCTGTGTGAATCTATGTGTCTCTGTGTGAGTCTATGGGTCTCTGTTTGAGTCTATGGGTCTCTGTGTGAGTCTATGGGTTTCTATGTGAGTCTATGGGTTTCTATGTGAGTCTATTGGTTTCTGTGTGAGTCTATGGGTCTCTGTGTGAGTCTATGGGTCTCTGTGTGAGTCTATGGGTCTCTGTGTGAGTCTATGGGTCTCTGTGTGAGTCTATGGGTCTTTGTGTGAGTCTATGGGTCTCTGTGTGAGTCTACGGGTCTCTATGTGAGTCTACGGGTCTCTGTGTGAGTCTACGGGTCTCTGTGTGAGTCTATGGGTCTCTGTGTGAGTCTACGTATGTACGTTAAAACTTCTTTCGCACCGTCCGTAGCCAACCGCGCTAATCGGTTCGCCGGGTTCGTAGTGCAGCGCTCACCGCTGCATCATCGCTGCCCACACACAGACAAGACACACGCAGACACACACACAGACAGAAACACACAGACACACACACTGACAGAAACACACAGACACACACAGAGACACAACACGACCCCACTGCTTTGCTCCCGTGTACAATATTTACGCGAAACGACCGGGCGGTGTTTTTTTTTAATAAACGGCGACGTGACGCGCCAATCAAAGCGCACAGCACGAGGGAGGGGGGCGTGGTCTGGGGTGCTCAGTCTGTGACGTGGGCTATACATCACATGCGTAACCGCGTGGTTAATTGATGCAGACTCGATGGTCTTATGAGGTGAGGGGGGGGGGGTTAACGCGTCGTACGAGCAGCAGCAGTAGGTGGAGGATGATGAAGCTTTCGAGACCAAATGTAACCGCAATGGAGGTATGTATCTTTTTTAGATCGCGTAAGTTTAAATCCACTTCGTCCACGCGTCTGTCGCGCCCGTGCGGAGCGCTCCGCTCTCCTTGCCAGCCGCTTCTCCACGCCGGTCCAGTCCAGCGCCATCTCTCTTCCCCGCTCCTCTGGCCACCACGGACCGATCGCACCGCATCGCCCCCCCCTCTCCCCCACGATCTCTCCCCAACCCAACCCACCTCTTCTCCTTCCTCTTCTTATCGCCTTCTTCCTCGTCACCTTCCGACCCATCTCTCGACATGACAAGAAGCACGCCAGCCTTTTCACTCTCTCTCTCTCTCACTCTCTCACTCTCTCTCTCTCTCACTCTCTCACTCTAATTATCTCACTCTCTCACTCTCTCTCTCACTCTCATTCTCTCACTCTCTCACTCTCTCTCTCTCACTCTCTCTCTCTCTCTCACTCTCTCACTCTCTCTCTCACTCTCTCTCTTACTCTCTCTCTCACTCTCTCACTCTCTCACTCTCCCTCTCACTCTCTCTCACTCTCTCACTCTTATTATCTCACTCTCTCACTCTCATTCTCTCACTCTGTCACTCTCTCTCTCACTCTCTCACTCTCTCACTCTCTCTCTCTCACTCTCTCACTCTCTCTCTCACTCTCTCACTCTCATTCCCTCGACTTCTCCGCGTAAATATGAATATAGTTTGTCGTTAAAGCTGCGGTAGCAGCAGCAGCAGCAGGGGGATTTCTCCACAACTCTGTAGCTGTCCGCCTGAAGATGCTGCTGGCTGTTGTTGTTGTTGTTGCTGTTGTTGTTGCTGTTGTTGTTGATGTTGTTGTTGTTGTGATTACCGGCGAAACGTCGCGGTGCTCGAATTGTAAATGTTGTAGTGGTGTTTACTCTCCAGCACACAACCAGCGTGGTGTTGTACTAGTATACCACACTATACACTACACTATACACTACACTATACACTACACTATAATTGTAAATGTTGTAGTGGTGTTTACTCTCCAACACACGACCGGTGCAGTGCTGTACTAGTATACTACACTATACACTACACTATACACTACACTATACACTACACTATACACTACACTATACACTACACTATAATTGTAAATGTTGTAGTGGGGTTTACTCTCCAACACACAACCAGTGCAGTGCTGTACTAGTATACTACACTATAGACTACACTATACACTACATTACACTATACACTACACTATACACTACACTATACACTACACTATACACTACACTATACACTACAGTATACACTACACTATACACTACACTATACACTACACTATACACTACTATACACTACACTATACACTACTATACACTACACTATACACTACACTATACACTACTATACACTACACTATGATTGTAAATGTTGTAGTGGGGTTTACTCTCCAATACACGACCGGCGTGGTGTTGTACTAGTATACTACACTATACACTACACTATACACTACACTATACACTACACTATACACTACACTATACACTACACGATCAATGTAAATGTTGTAGTGGGGTTTACTCTCCAACACACGACCGGCGTGGTGATGTACTAGTATACTACACTATGCACTACACTATACACTACACTATACACTACACTATACACTACACTATACAATACACTACACTATAATTGTAAATGTTGTAGTGGGGTTTGCTCTCCAATACACGACCGGTGCAGTGCTGTACTAGTATACTACACTATACACTACACTATACACTACTATACACTACACTACTATACGCTACACTATACACTATATTACACTATATACTACACTACTATACACTACACTATACACTACACTACGATACACTACACTATACACTACACTATACACTACTATAGACTACACCATACACTACACTATACACCACACCATATGCTACTATACACTACACTAAACACTACACTATAATTGTAAACATTGTAGTGGGTTTACTCTCCAATTAACAGCCGGTGTGGTGCTGTACTCGTAACGAACTGGCCACGTTTTGTGAACGTGAGGCATCCTTACTAATTGGCCGTGTCGGGTGGTGGCGAGTTTAACGACACAACATTCATACTTACTCCATCTAACAAACAAAACTCCCCTCCATTATGGATCCATGTTTGGTGTTTAAATATCTTAACACCTCTTGCTTTATTGCCAGAAAGGGGTTAAAACATCTTCTTCATTTGTTTTGCATATTGTGGCAAAACAAAAGTCCAATACGTTAACGACAATAATTGACATCTGTAAAGTGGCTCCTATTAATCTTAGCGGGTCTCGCCCTCCACCCCCCCCCCCCTCCCCCACGGGACAGCGGTCTTGTCGAGGCCGCTGATTGATTTGATCGATTTTCCCATCGGGGCCGTCCATAAATGACGTCACACGATTTTTGACGATTCTTGACCCCCCTCCCCCACCTCGTCATACGGCGTCACAAAAAGTCAGACCCCGCCCCCCTCAAATATGACGTCATAAAGCTCTGCCCCTCCCCCCTCCCGTCAAAATGAAAACACGCTTCAAATCGCTTTAAACTATTGCCAATTGTAGTGCGTATTTAATGTGGCGCTGCACCTGCACTCTGATGCTGTAGGAGAAAACATTTATGAAAAAAGTCTATTTAATTAAGTAGAACGTGTTGTCTATATTTATTTAAAGTTTGCCCATTCTGATGTGACGTCACATTTCTCAAACACCTCCCCCCCCCCCCTCTCATCACACATCGTCACAAATGTCTGACCCCTCCCCCCCTTAGTTGCGTGACGTCATTTATGGGCGGCCCCATAGTCCCTCTCGACTACGTTCATTCACGAGTTGCCTTTCTCCGATGTCACAGCGTCGTCGCAGCAGCGAAGACGACAACTGATGACGAGTGAGCTTCAAGCGAGATTGAAAGAGAGCGAGAGCGAGAGAGAGATCGATTGATCGCCTATCTCGCACGTAAAACATGTTGTGTGTATCGGAATCCGTCGGTAAGGAACAGGGGAGGGGGAGGCTTTAAACTACCGCACCGTGAAATCGGCAAATCGAACGGCAGACCGCAGATCTTACACAGAGACCGTCTGGAATGCGCTCGTCACAGGCTCCTCTGTGGTGGTGGTGGTGGTGGCATCCGTCTCAGGGTCAAGGAAGGAGGTGGGCGGGCGGGCGGGCGGGTGGGCGGGGGGGGGGGGGAGAGGTGGGGGGCTCATTGGATGAGATTGTTTGAGGCGATATTATTTGGCCGCGGGAAGATGCCAACGTGAAAAGCCACTTTTGTAGAGGCGTCGATTTGCCATTTGCTTGGGTGGCTTCTGCAAAATAAGTCGGTGCCTCGGTGCGCTCTACCTTGGTAAGATGCAAACCAAAAATAATGTTGAGTTTTTTTTGCTTTTAACTTGTGTGTGAGTTTTCAGTGATTCCATTAACCCTGCACTCCTATCGGTTGGTTTGGTGGTGTTTGTTGGTGTAACGTTCTGACCACGTGCCCCCTCTACTGGACATCTGGTGGTGGGGGAAAAGAAAGAGCTTTATAGCTCATCGGATTCCTCCTACCAGCACAAATAAATAAGTTAGCCGACGGGCGGCAGGGAGAAGGGTAAAAGATGAATTCCCAAAGCAGGAGCTCGACTCGGGGCTCTATGTTTTTTTATGGATCTATGTTGGTGTTTGACCATCTTAACACGATCCTGTGTTATTGTCAGAATGGATTAGAACCTTCTGTTATGGATCTATGTTGGTGTTTTAACATCTTAACACCACCTGTGTTAGTTTCAGATAAGATTAGAAGCTTATGTTATGGATCTATGTTGCTGTTTGACCATCTTAACACGATCCTGTGTTATTGTCAGAATGGATTAGAACTTTCTGTTATGGATCTTTGTTGGTGTTTTAACATCTTAACACAACCTGTGTTATTGTCAGAATTGATTAGAATCTTCTGCTATGGATCTATGTTGGAGTTTGAACATTTTAACACAACCTGTGTTATTGTGAGAATAGATTAGAACCTTCTGCTATGGATCTATGTTGGAGTTTGAACATCTTAACACAACTTGTGTTATTGTCAGAATTGGTTAGAACCTTCTGTTATGGATCTATGTTGCTGTTTTAACATCTTAACACCACCTGTGTTATTGTCAGAATGGATTAGAACCTTCTGTTATGGATCTATGTTGGTGTTTGAACATCTTAACACCATCCTGTGTTATTGTAAGAATGGATTAGAACCTTCTGTTATGGATCTATGTTGGTGTTTTAACGTCTTAACACCATCCTGTGTTATTGTAAGAATGGATTAGAACCTTCTGTTATGTATCGATATCTCTGTCTGCACGACCCCTCCCCAACGTGTCGCAGCCGCGTGCATTCGTTGTTGTTGTTGTTGTTGACACTGTTCGGCACAATGTCCGGCGTTAACGGTTCCATCGGCGCCGGGGGAGCCTCATTCGGTATCTAGGCAGAAGCTCTCCGATGCGAACCGTCGGACAACGGTGCGATAACAACGCGCACGGAGCGCTGACACATTCCTGCCGTGCTTCGCCTCCGCGTCCGATTCTCTCACTCCACCTTCCTCTTTGTTTTGGCTACGAACCCGGCCTCCCCCTAGGTCGACTCAGCCTCAAATGTGTCCACCTTGTGCGGTGTGCAGCATAAGCGTCGCCACTTGCGGGAGACAAAGGCGGTCGGGCGTGGATGCTGGCCACCCACCTACCCACCACCATCACGTGTTCCCTTGCCGGATGGGCAGCTCGAGTACCAGCAACTTGCCCCCAAAAGTCTGTCGAAGGCTGCACGGGGGCATCTTTGTCTTTACCTGTTGTTTTGTTTTTAATGGGTTTATGGATGCGGAAGCTGTGGGGGGAGGAGAAGGAGGTGGGGGAGGCGGTGGGTGGTGGGAGGGTGGTGAGGGGGAGGGGGGGGCAGGGGGCGAGCCCCTCCGGTGAGGGATGACCCCCCCCCTCAATCTACCCCCCCACATCCCCCAAACTACCCCCACCCACCCCCCTGCGAGACAACTGCCGGATGTGACCGCGATGGTGTTCGCTTGACGAGCCATCTCCATCAACACAAACACGGAAGGGGGTGGGAGGGTGTCACCCCCCTCCCCCTTCCCCACCCCCCTCCCCGCTCGACCGAGATTTAACCCAGCAGCAGCATCGCATCCAAGTTGGAGAGCTGAACTCCGGATAAGGGGCCGTCCATAAATGACGTCACGCGATTTTGGACAATTTTTGACCCCCTCCCCTCGTCACACGGCGTCACAAAAAGTCAGAACCCCCTCAAATATTACGTCACAAAGCTCTGCCCCCCCCTCCCCAAAAAAATATAAAACATGCTTCAAATCGCTTTAAACTATTGTCATTGTAGTGCGTATTTAATGTGGCGCTGCACTCTGATGTTGTTGGAGAAAACATTTATTTAAAAGTCAATTTAATTAAGTAGAACGTGTTGTCTATATTTATTTAAAGTTGCCGCATTTTGACGTAACGTCACATTTCTCAACCACCCCCCCCCCCCACGTCACACATCGTCACAAATGTCTGACCATCCCCCCCCCTAGATGCGTGACGTTATTTATGGACGGCCCTTAAGGGGGAAAGTCGCTGGCTATCGGGAGCGTGTTTGCAAGTGCCCAGCTTTCAACATATTCCGGGATGAGTAGTGACGAGGTGTTGGCTCCCTCGCCTGATTTGCGGGAGGTCGTGGATTTGATCCCGACCCTGACGGCGCCTGCTGTACATTTGGAGTTTGTGTGTGTGTCTCTCTCTCTTCATCACGGTGGCTAGGAGATGTTAACTACCTCGCCTCGCATGCAGAGGGTCGTGGGTTCCCCGGTTCCTATCGGTTGTAGATGCCACTGGTTCTTCACGTTCTGCAGATGTAGATGCCACTGGTTCTTCACGTTCTGCAGATGTAGATGCCACTGGTTCTTCACGTTCTGCAGATGTAGATGCTACTGGTTCTTCACGTTCTGCAGATGTAGATGCCACTGGTTCTTCACGTTATGCAGATTTAAATGCCACTGGTTCTTCATGTTCTGCAAATGTAGATGCCACTGATTCTTCACGTTCAGTAGATGTAGATGCCACTGGTTCTTCACGTTCTGTAGATGTAGATGCCACTGGTTCTTCACGTTCTGCAGATGTAGATGCCACTGTTTCTTCACGTTCTGTAGATGCCACTGGTTCTTCATGTTCTGCAGATGTAGATGCCACTGTTTCTTCACGTTATGCAGATTTAAATGCCACTGGTTCTTCATGTTCTGCAAATGTAGATGCCACTGGTTCTTCACGTTCTGCAGATGTAGATGCCACTGATTCTTCACGTTCTGTAGATGTAGATGCCACTGATTCTTCACGTTCTGTAGATGCCACTGATTCTTCATGTTCTGTAGATGCCACTGATTCTTCATGTTCTGTAGATGCCACTGGTTCTTCACGTTCTGTAGATGTAGATGCCACTGATTCTTCACGTTCTGTAGATGTAGATGCCACTGATTCTTCACGTTCTGTAGATGCCACTGGTTCTTCACGTTCTGTAGATGCCACTGATTCTTCATGTTCTGTAGATGCCACTGGTTTTTCACGTTCTGTAGATGCTACTGGTTCTTCACGTTCTGTAGATGCCACTGGTTCTTCACGTTCTGTAGATGCCACTGATTCTTCACGTTCTGTAGATGTAGATGCCACTGATTCTTCATGTTCTGTAGATGCCACTGGTTTTTCACGTTCTGTAGATGCTACTGGTTCTTCACGTTCTGTAGATGCCACTGATTCTTCACGTTCTGTAGATGCCACTGATTCTTCACGTTCTGTAGATGTAGATGCCACTGATTCTTCATGTTCTGTAGATGCCACTGGTTTTTCACGTTCTGTAGATGCTACTAGTTCTTCACGTTCTGTAGATGCCACTGGTTCTTTATGTTCTGTAGATGCCACTGGTTCTTCACGTTCTGTAGATGCCACTGGTTCTTCACGTTCTGGTTCTTCGTGTTCTGTAGATGTAGATGCCATGACCGCCATGTATTATAATGGGTGACATCTCAGACAATTGCCCTTCAATTTTGTGCCATGAAGAAGGGGCATTTCCCGAAACGTCGCCTATGTATTTTCCTTTTAAGGGCACACACCCACGCGCGCGGTGTTGCTATGGACGAATGCGTCGGATTCTCGAGCGAGAATTCATGCATCATGCATGAATGTTAATGTAAGTCACTTTTAACACGTGTTGTAAATAAACAGGAAGACACTATGTGATAAATAAATAAAATAACCCTTTGTGTCCTGACTTTTAGGCCACCCTGCATATATATGTTACTTACAATATTTTAGTTTTTTTTAAGTGGCAGACATCATCGTTGCTATTATCATTATTCATATATCGATTACATTTGAGGGTGCTGCTACTGCCGCAATGGTGGTGTAAATGGTCACCAGTGCGCTGGTCTTGACATGCAGAGGTAGTCGGTTCGATCCGACCTCTCGGCGCGGCAGTTGGTGGTGGGGTAAAGTGTGGGTAACTCCCACGTCTTTCAAGACAATCTGGCCACCGTGGAAGAGTAGGCCAAATACACTCGGCGGGGGGGGGGGGGGGGAGATGGAACGTCTCGTTCGCCAGGGTGTCCAGCAGCAGAGCGAGAATATTAATTGCGGGGCTCCACCTCTATCTGTGGTTATTTTGTGAATGTACACGTTGGGTCTATAGACATGCTGTGTACCGTGTATGTGTGGTGGTGGTGGTGGGTGGTGGTGGGTGGTGGTGGTGGTGGTGGGTGGTGGTGAGTGGTGGTGAGTGGTGGTGGTGAGTGGTGGTGGTGGGTGGTGGTGGTGGGTGGTGGTGGTGGTGGTGGTGAGTGGTGGTGGTGGTGAGTGGTGGTGGTGGGTGGTTGGTGGTGGGTGGTGGTGAGTGGTGATGGTGGGTGGTGATGGTGGGTGGTGATGGTGGGTGGAGTGGTGGTGGGTGGTGGTGGGGGGTGGTGGGTGGTGGTGAGTGGTGATGGTGGATGGTGGGTGGTGATGGTGGGTGGTGATGGTGGGTGGTGGTGGTGGTGGGTGGTGGTGGGTGGTGGTGAGTGGTGATGGTGGATGGTGGGTGGTGATGGTGGGTGGTGATGGTGGGTGGTGGTGGGGGTGGTGGTGGGTGGTGGTGGGTGGTGGGGGGTGGTGATGGGTGGTGGTGGTGGGTGGTGGGGAGGTGGTGGTGGTGGGTGGTGGGGGGGGGGGTGTTGGTGAGTGGTGGTGGGGGTGGTGGTGGGGCGAGGGCGGGGGTGGATGGGTGGGTGAAATGCGGAAAATAATTAATTAATGATGTAACCGTAACAACAACACAAATCATTGGAAGACGCGAGGGACTGCAACAAATGTAACGAGGAGGAGGAGAGAGTCAAAGGTCGCGCGTCTCAGAGTGGGGGGGGGGGGGGGGGGGGGGGGGGGGGGGGGGGGGGGGGGGGGGGGGGGGGGGGGGGGGGGGGGGGGGGGGGGGGGGGGGGGGGGGGGGGGGGGGGGGGGGGGGGGGGGGGGTTACCTCCCTGTGACCCCCCCCCCCCACCCAAAGACGAAGCTCCACCGTATAGCCTTCAACAGATGTGTTGGGGCAAGTGCTGTTAGCACTCAGACCGTCATCGAACAATGACGGTGACGGTCATAGACTCACACAGAGACCCGTAGACTCACATAGAGACCCATACACTCACACAGAGACCCGTAGACTCACACAGAGACCCATAGATTCACACAGACACCCACAGACTCACACAGAGACCCGTAGACTCACACAGAGACCCATAGACTCACACAGACACCCAAAGACTCACACAGAGGCCCGTAGACTCACACAGAGACCCATAGACTCACACAGAGACCCACTGACTCACACAGACACCCATAGACTCACACAGAGACCCATAGACTCACAAAGAGACCCGTAGACTCACACGGAGACCCATAGACTCACACAGAGACCCACTGACTCACACAGAGACCCACTGACTCACACAGAGATCTGTAGACTCACATAGAGACCCGTAGACTCACATAGAGACCCGTAGACTCAAATAGAGACCCACAGACTCACACAGAGACCCGTAGACTCACACAGAGACCCGTAGACTCGCACAGAGACCCGTAGACTCACACAGAGACCCGTAGACTCACACAGAGACCCATAGACTCACACAGAAACCAATAGACTCACACAGAGACCCGTAGACTCACACAGAGACCCATAGACTCACACAGAGACCCGTAGACTCACACAGAGACCTGTAGACTCACATAGAGACCCATAGACTCACACAGAGACCCATAGACTCATACAGAGACCCGTAGACTCACACAGAGACCCATAGACTCACACAGAGACCCATAGACTCACACAGAGCCCCATAGACTCACACAGAGACCCATAGACTCACACAGCGACCCGTAGACTCACATAGAGACCCGTAGACTCACACAGAGACCCATAGCCTCACACAGAGACCCACAGACTCACACAGAGACCCGTAGACTCACATAGAGGCCCGTAGACTCACACAGAGACCCGTAGACTCACACAGAGACCCACAGACTCACACAGAGACCCATAGACTCACACTGAGACCCATAGACTCACACAAAGACTCATAGACTCACACAGAGACCCAATGTCTCACAGAGAGTCCCACAGACTCACACAGATACCCGTACACTCACACAGCGACCCACAGATTCACATAGAGACCCCTAGACTCACAAAGAAACCCGTAGACTCACATAGAGACCCGTAGACTCACACAGACACCCACAGACTCACACAGAGACCCACAGACTCACACAGAGAACCACTGACTCG